GAGGATGTACGAGAAATACGTGCAAAGTAAACATCGATGAAAAACAAGTTTATTTACAAATATGATTAACTAACGATGACAGACCAGTGGGACAGCGATTGATTTTGTAGTAGTAGTCATCTTTCAAAACATTGTGTAGGTTCACAACCTTTACCCGCTCACGCGATACATGCAGCCGTAGACGCATACCACACCTAGAGGTGCCGGTGATGATTTTATACCGATTTGTCGGATATCGAAGTTATAACAGGTAAAAGAACTAATATTAATTGCTATTTCGGTACTTACTCTAGCAAACCATAAAGTTCTTAATGCCTGGGTCTGTCATTTAAAAAAAAAACAACTTCAAAAATACGTCACGACAATCGTGTGTGTTATTGTTTGGGCTGGTGATGTCGGTGTTTATTTATTGAAAACGTACCGTAAGTAGCGTTTTTTAAGTTTACCCTGAATATAAATGTTTATAAACTATACTTTAAGTAGTAATTTCATGGTAAACGTTAGAACCACTCAAACGGAATATTATCATATTTATCCAAGTACGCCAAAAATTTCATTAGTGCTTTCTAAGTGCAGGATTTGCGGTGTATTACTGCATTTTATTTGAGATGTTTTTGTTGGTACTACGGAGGGTATTTATTTAACAATGCAGAATAATAATTTTTATTTATAAAAACTTGTATTTAAACTGAATGCTTTTCTAATTTGCGAAACCAAATAGCCGCCATTTTGCGGTAGGAGAAGCGCATGTGAAGTCATTAACATGCATTGATGTGGTAAGGGTGACGAACTATGTTTTAACTCCATACATATATAGCAAGCGCAGCTATAGTCCATTTCAATAGGAATGAGTTATGTGATATTTCTAATTTTTACGTTGCACGTGATAGTATTTATATTTTATAGACAATATAATTGGGCGTTAACTAACGCCATCTACAAATTCCATGTAAAATTTATAAGTATGGCCACCAGGTTTCTCGTAAAAAAAAATATAGATGCCTCTGTAGGTCCCTTATTTTAAACGAAACTTGTGAAATAAGGTTACTTTCCTAAAATACATAATATTCAGTCATTTTAATGGTTTCATAATTCTCGTTTGAATTAATAATAACTATCTGAAATACATCATAATTTATCTGTTATAGTTTCACCATTGCATTTTGAAAGTTTGCCTTTTTGACCAACTTCCATTTTGGACTGTAATATTATGGTTTGTAAAATTAATGATATTTTGTTAATTAAGATAACTATGACGTGGATAAATAGTGGCTACATACACTCTTTAAAATATTCTTGAAGTTTTTACTTTACATGTTAATACTGTATAATATTTATTAAATGTTCAACCAAGTGTTCAGTACACAATAAAAAACAATGCTGCTCTGTGATTGGACGATATTATGGTATATAAAATTGATGATATTTGCTAAATTAAGATAATTACGAGATTTATATAATTATTACAGTAATTAAATATGTATTGCCTTTGTTACTTTATACCTTTATAATGCATAACATTTACTATTTATGCTCAACCAAGTGAGTCAAGAAATACTGCTCTGTGATTGGACGATATTATGGTGTATAAAATTAATGATATTTGCTTAGTTAAGACAACTATGAGGTTCCTATAACTGTTATAGTTCTTAAAATATGTTTCAACAACTTGTTAGGTAAAAGCTTTCATTCTCTTCAGTACTGTACAAATGTAAACGATAATTATTTTATGATAGGTCAAAATAGTATGTATGTATGAATGAATTTCAAAGGAGGTTTTTGAAGGGTATAAAAAGAATTGTAAAGCTGGAGGAGACAGAAAAAGTGCCGAACCGAGAACCAGCTAAAGTACCTAGCTGCTTTGTAACTTGTTCTATTGCTACTATCTAATTGTGTTGTGTAAATATAAGTAAGGTCTCTTTGCTTGGTAGCAATAATGTAAATTATTGCTACTACGCTTTGGCATAGTTTATGTACCTAAATGTGTGATTAGTGGTAGTTGTTGTTTTAACTTGTCCATTTTAATTAATTTCCTTTTTCTAGCACAGCCATAATTCTGTGTTAACTAGTACGTTAAATCCATCCTTTTAGAAGTGCTATTATTACTTTTATTTTGTTTATCCTGTTTCTCAAATTATTTTTTTACTACACCTAAATTACAAACAATATTGTTTTGTACCAACTTTATAAATTAAAACTGAGTCATGTTTTTGAAAGTACTGCTTTTCATTTTGTTTTTAAAATTAGTTCGCAACCAATTTTTACTATGTACATCTAATTTTGTACTACCCTCTATAAATAAATTTGGTTTACTAAAATTATGCTTTTCATTTTCATAGAAGTTTAACATCTTTATAATAGAATCTAGTAATTAGTAGACACAAATATGATTTTTTCTAACACACGCATACGATTTATAACTAATCTGTCAACCAAGTTATAAAAATAAATAGTAAATTTGTTATAATGTGCCAAAATCAAACAATATTTGTTGTAAATGTAATTTTAAGTAAAAATTGTGCTATATTATGTACATAGAAAATGAAATAATAAATATAAAAATAAATTACCCCAACTGCTTGATGCGTAAAAGGGATTATTTATCCATAGAGATTTACACCATAGAATCGATAAATCAAATCGGTTTTTGTATAACTCTCGTCAATACGAGGCATTTACTTCCTTTTCCTATTTCTGCCGCCAAGCATTAACGTGAATATTATTGCGTTCCGGTTTTGAAGGGGTGCTGGTGAATTTACAGACACATGGGACTTCTCAACTTATACCTCAGGGTGACAGGTGCAATGGCAGTGCCCCTCAGATCTTTAGGGTTTAAAGCTCTGAGTGACACTGTAACAGTCATAGATCGGCGTGTAGCATAACATCAGGCGTACGAATTGTTCGTCTCATCACTTGGTATTATAATACAAAAAATGTTTATTGTTGTGTTTATAGTTTGAACAAGAATGCCTCGAATTTAGAATTGTTCTGCACTGCATTTCTATTTCATAAACATACTCCCGTAATAGAGATACCAACCCGCGATGCTGGTTTAAAAATACCAATACGGTACCGCATTTAACTTAGGCTATTTCAATATAACACGAAAATGTTGTGATGAATACCTTTTATTTCAAATTATGTTTACGACCTATGGGTACAACTAAAATGATAATGTGACAACCCTAGGTAGGGTGTACGCATTGACGCACCGAATAAGCGGTAGTTGGATATCTTATTATACTATGCCTAAGCTCTCTCCTTATAGGAGACCCATGCCCTGTAATATATTGACGATGCAGTAGAAATAGTGAGTGTTGGTCAACATGTCGATGGTAAAAATCGAAGTGATTTATGAGTAATAATTATTATTATTTATTTAATAAAAGAAAGTACATGTACAAGCTGTTGTGATATACAAGCATTACAAAATTATTAAGATGTACGTACAATTCGTGAATTCCTATTGAAAACATGATAACATATTCTAAGTTCGGGGTTTGTATTATGATGATGGTTTTCCGTTGTGTCATGGCCTAAACATGAGTGTGTGTAACAATATGCCGTAGCTCGTGTGTATATTTTGTGTGTGTATGTGCGTGCGTGCGTACGTGCGTGCGTTCGTGCATGTGTGTGTGAACAGCATAATAAGGTTTCCTTTCAAGCATTTACGGACTGAGATACCACACGTAAATTATTTGCACAAGAACTTGAGTGAGATGCCACAAGACATTTAATCTAGCAACAGTTCTGCAATATAAACAATAATCAGCAATGTCAACGTATTATCTTCCCACAGCTGCTTTCGCAAATACGTGGTACGGTTTAATAAACAATGCCGTTGGCATCTATCCAAATATACTCGCGACTTAAATAGGACATTACCAATCTCATCCACAACTATAGTAGCACCTATTAACCACACAATAGCGTTCAACTTAATGTTAAAATTAGATTTCAACCGTTTGTAGATAGATGTATTATCAAATTTCAGATTTTCGAAAAATGATTATTATTCCTTTTTTTTTGAATATTAAGTGACGCGACGAATATATAAATAAGCAACACGCCTGTCCATAACAGTTGCAGTGCCGCTCAGAGCTTTAAATCGCAAAGATTTGAGGGGCACTGCTATTGCGACCGTCACCCTGAGACATAAGTTGACAAGTCATCAGGAAATCAGTAATGCTCACGTTACTGCTTGGCGGCAGAAATAGGTAAGGTGGCAGTACTTCCCTGGACGAATTCTTTCACAAGGAGCTTTACTGCTGCAAACATAAATTAATGTACGTAGTCGTTCATTGAACCATATTTCAAATAGGTGGTTAATTATGGTGGTGGTTATTATTTATTTATTTATTTAATTTGAAATCTGATATATATATCCGCTCACGCGATACATGCAGCCGTAGACGCATACTACACCTAGAGGTGCCGGTGATGATTTTATACCGATTTATCGGATATCGAAGTTATAACAGGTAAAAGAACTAATATTAATTGCTATTTCGGTAACTACTCTAGCAAACCATAAAGTTTTTAATGCCTGGGTCTGTCATTTAAAAAATAATAAACAGCTTCAAAAATACGTCACGACAATCGTGTGTGTTATTGTTTGGGCTGGTGATTTCGGTGTTTATTTATTGAAAACATACCGTAAGTAGCGTTTTTTAAGTTTACCCTGAATATAAATGTTTATAAACTATACTTTAAGGAGTAATTTCATGGTAAACGTTAGAACCACTCAAACGGAATATTATCATATTTATCCAAGTACACCAAAAATTTCATTAGTGCTTTTTAAGTGCAGGATTTGCGGTGTATTACTGCATTTTATTTGATATGTTTTTGGAAGTACGGAGGGTATTTATTTAGCAATGCAGAATAATAATTTTTATTTATAAAAACTTGTATTTAAACTGAATGCTTTTTTGCTAATTTTGCTAATTTGCGAAACCAAATAGCCGCCATTTTGCGGTAGGAGGAGCGGATCGCGTGAGCGGTTATAGGCTAACTATTGCATGTCGTTATATTTTTTATACTCACTCCTTCAATAAAAGCTATCCCATAATCCAATAGCGATTTAAATACGCTTTTGGCACCATCCACAGAATTCAAAAACTTGTCAATATCAAGTCTGGCCACCTTCTCCGCAACTGTGTTTCCACTCCATAGAACAGGCTTAAGACGACGGTTCTCTGTCCAAGTATTGAAATCGCACTCTATTAAAAAGTCTGCTTGAAAAACTGACCGGTGATCGTCTTCCCCTGAAACGTAACAGCAGTATTCAATTATATTACTATTAGAAATATACAGGTTGACTTTTTAATCACAGTCTAAATTTTAATATAATATAAATATCTTTGGTAAAAAAAATAGAACTTTTTATCACAGCAGCACCACAAAGTTATCTAAAAAGTCAAAAGTTATCGAAAACGTACAAACGTTTTGTGTTTTGTGGTGTTGCAATACAGGTCCCGCACCTTCCGCGCCCCCGCCGGCTTCCGTTAATTCATTGATAAACATAATTTGCAAATTTTCCCTTCATACTTTTACAGGCTTCGGACCGTAAAATTGAAAGAGGGTTGTGTTATTCTCTATTTATAAAGGTGAATAATAAATGTTGTTCATTTTAAATATAGAATAAGCTTCTAGAGTTTTTCGTCGGCACCATGTAAATCCTTTTTTTGGGCGACGAAGACAAACGTGAAACACGCTAAAAAATTGTAATACGGTATCAGTTTAAAAAAATGGAACGAAAAAGTGACAACTAGCTTAATTAAACTGGCTCAGTCCTGAAGCAATATGAGCCTTAAAATATCTTCTCTTGAACGAACGAATGGATGACAGTGTGTAGGAATAAGTAATATTCTACTAAATATTAATTCCTTGTAACAACTGTATTTATACCATGGTTGCAATAAACAATATTCTGTTGTAAAAATGTAATGTGCTATTTATAGTTCATTTCACATAGCATGGGCACGGTGACGTTTGAGATTTGAAGTTTCTAGAAATGTATGATGTATACGAACGAAAAAAATCGATTTAAATCGATAGAATTTGTAACGAAGAGAAAATCAATTTAGAGACAATAATTTAAGAACAAATAATAAACAATATAAGGATTCATTTATTATGTTATTAAGTGGCCAAAAAACTACACAATCAATAAATATAAATCAATAACAACTGAACAAAAAATGAACAACAAAGCAAAAAATCGACAGCTTAGAATCCAATTTTGAACAATTACTCCAAAAACACCAAGCAAAGCTCAAAACAAAAGAAAACGACCCGCATACAAGGTTTATGCACTCCTATTTACGCGAGTTACACTAATAGCCAATTCGATTTATCGATTCTATGGTGTAAATCTCAATAGATAAATCGTCAGCTTAAAGGTAAAACTAAACAAGGACATTTTCCGCAAAAAGTCTCCAAATTATCTTATTATCTTCCTGCGGATAAGACTCTTATTGAGTTTATAACTTTTTGTTATTGAGTTTCACGTGCAGAAAGGTAGTGATTTTCCCATACCATAGCAGCTATATAAATTAATTTTTTTTGTTTAAAATGTCATTTATGTGGTTTTACCTTTAAACAGACGAAATATTCCATTGTACACGTCAAGTAGTTGGGTTATTTATTTTTATCTTTATGATTTCGTTTTGTATCTACGTAATTAATATACTGTAATTTTTACTTAAAATTACAATTGCAACAAATATTGCCTGTTTTTTGTCTATTATAACAAATTTACTATTTTATTTTTTTGTAACCTAGGTTGAGAGATTAGTTTAAAATAGTACGCATGCAACTTGAAAATTTAAAATGCCACAGTACCTCCGTGTGAAATGGACTATAGTACAATACTACTTAGTAATGTTGTGTATTCATTTATGCCGAACCATCGTGCTGCATCTCATGTGATCGCTCTAGCCTTTTTTCAAAAAAACCGAAATTTCTTCTTCAATCTCCACCGGCAGTCTCGGCCTACGACGTCAACAACAAGGTACGGTAAATTCTAGTATTCTATTCGTTATTAAAGGTAGACAGTCAGTTTTCTATCTTTCTTTGTCCAGAGCTAGCCTAAACGGTTATTCCTCGATACTATTGACTCATTGACCACGCTGTTTGGTAATTCCTTTAGAAAAATTATCTAATTATAAAAAGACGTACCCTATTTTTGAAGAGGTTTAGAATATTTATACGTTTAGCCTGAAAAGAATTGAAGGGTGATTAAAAAGTCACCCCGTATACATTAATTTTCTATTCAAACGATAATGTACTATAATACTACTTAAGAAAATTCTTTTCAAATTACACTAATTGTTAATGACTTAGAAAGCAAATTACTCGTAGTCACATAGGCACGTGACTGTGATTGGCAGGTTTTTTTTTGTGTCAAGTGATGGGACGAACAAGTCGTGCATCTGGTGGTAAGCAACACGCCTGTCCATAACAGTTGTAATGTCTGTGATCTGAGGTGCACTGGCATAGCTACCGTCACCCTTTGACAAGTTGAAACGTCAAATGCACCCGCAATTTCACCAGTCCTTACCCTTCAAACCCAAAATATAAGTCATAGGTACGGTGGCAGCATCTCCCTGAGTGAACTCTTCCGCAAGGATACTGCTAATTGGTACTTACAAGTAATAAGAATGTGTGTTTTCTCAAATTGAACTTCGAATATAAAAACTTCTGGGATATCTAGTATATGCTTAGCTCTCTGGAACGTTGCAGCGTGGTAGCAGCTGGAACACCTGTAACATGGCGATGATTAGGACTTCAGAACCAAGGACACATGCGATATAATGAAATATCAAGGACGCGTTGTTGGATTTTGATTTCCACTACGTTTCCATACAAAAACGTTATACTCATTTTTCATAACAATAGAATTACTTGTATAGATTTTGAGAAACTTTGAACCTAGTAAAAATAATTATTGACAGGAATACATTGACTTACAATGGACGTCGGGTCCGCGCTAAAAAGTGTCCGCACTTGTAAGGCGCTAAAATCGTATACAAAGCGCCAAACTCCGCTTTAGTCTTCATTTGTTCTACTGACAGCGCGATACTGCGATGACATTACAATTTAAATTTCGAATAGGTTGGCTTGGGACATTTTTTTCGTGGTTTTTGTATTAGACCCGTCGTCCATTTATTTGTAAGTCAATGCAGGAATAGTAATTACTAACAACGACGACGCACACTCATAGCCCCGCACTAGGGAAACCCTGTATCGCGGATGTCATAGACACACACATAGGTAGACAACCACAAATTACACCCAAGCACACCAGATAAATAAATATAGGCCATACAAATATTTCTCCCGGCCCGGGAATCAAACCCGGGACCTCTGCGTGGCAGTTCAGCATGGTAATCGTTTGGCCAGCGAGGCGATTAAAATTAAATGTTGGAAGATTTTTTTTCTGATCTGATGATATATTTGTTTTTTTCAAACAAACCAACGTTTTGGACTCTTTACAGGACAATGGTTCAGAATAGTGTGGTTTGCATTAGAATAGTATATTACATTTTTATAAGCTTTTTTTGTCCCTTTGCTGAGCACAGGACTCCCCATCTATCACAAACAACAGAACTCTGTAATGCTCATATCACTGCTTGGCAGCAAAAGATACTGCTACAGTACCTAAGGTAATTACGAATATGGTGCAATATCCTTCAACAGTTTTCTTACCTACAATGATCCCGAAGCCAGCAATCCTCAAACGTTATTGATTTGCCGTCAGCAAACTTTACTTCCATCGCATGTTCGAAGGCAAGAACATCCTGAATTTCTGTAAAATTGACAATGTACTTTTTACGAATTAGTATTTCAAACTCGTGTGGCACGAACAAGTCGCGGGCCTGGTGGTAAGCGACACTCCTGTCCATAACAGCAGTATTGCCACTCAAAACTTTAAATCGCAAAAACTTGAGGGACTCTCACCCTGAGACATAAGTTGACAAGTCCCATGTGCCCGTAATTTCACCACCACTCGTACCCTCAAAACCGCAACTCGGTATCGGCCTTTTTCACAAGGAGCTTTTACTTTTACTTTTTACCTACCACCGCAACTATCTAATACTAAGTTATATGCTCTATCTCTGTCTTTATTTGACATGCCATAAGCCAGAGGTTTCCAAACTTTTAGCGTAGATAGGGATCTACACCAAGGGTGCGTTCTGGTATGGATTTTTTATGAATTCATCAACTTAGGTACCGAATGACAATATATTTAAGAACACGTGTTTAAATTGTTATACATATATTGTTTTAAATATTATATCATTAAACACTGCTTCAATAGAACAATCTCATGAAATCACATCCTCAATACACATACACACACTCACAAGCACATATCATTACTTTATTAACTTATTTGTTTTTTTCATTTATCCTAATATGTATGAACACCAGTAGAGCTAGCACAGCAGGGCTTCGAGTTGCTTGAGAGCGACATAAAGCGCGAGATACTGCTATTCTCGCATAGAGATCCCGCGATATAATTGTGTCTCTCGCGCATATCGCGCCCTATCGTGCTAGCCCTACAGTCTCTCACAAAAGCTCCTGAATATTTTTGCTTGTATATTTTTTACTAATATAACCTATACGTGAGAGAATAAAGTTATTACTATTAATGAAAAGTAATATTTACCAGCCATTTCTAGTCCAAACAAACACTGCGACTTATTAGAACCCAAAATTAACACTGACCGCTATCTACTCTAGTTAATATCTCTGTTTATACGGACGGAGTTCAAAGATTACAAAGATTAAATTAATTTGTTACATCATTAATAACATTTGTTTTCACTACATGATAATGATTATGGATGTTCTAATTTAAACCAAAATATAATTCTTGATGACACTTACAGAAGATTTAGACGTGTCAAGTGTCCAGCCCTCTTTTTAAAAGAGACCCGTACCTATCAGTGAGAAGCACATGGGCTCCAGGCAAAATGTAATTTTAGTAGCAGTAGAAGAGTCTCCATAAGAAAGAGTTCGTCCAGGTTAGTACTGCCACCTTACCTATTTCTGCTGCCAAGCGGTAATGGGAGCATTACTGCGTTCCGGTTTTAATTTGAAAGGTAAGGGACGGTGATGAAATTACAGGCACAATGGTGGCACTGCAACTATTATGGACAGGCGTGTCGCTTTCCACCAGGAGCACGATTTGTTCGTCACTTAGTAGCATAAAAAAAACTTAATAAATCAATAATAAACTAGCTTTTGTAGCTTGATTTTGATAATAGCGTGTGTCTCTTATCTTAATAAAATATTTCTTGATATGTTTGTTCGCTGTTAGGAATGCGGTTGATTGTTTAGAACTATACTCTATAATGCTTCAAAAAAAAAATTAAACAAGTGTTCCACCACCTGGTGGGAAGCGAATGAAGCTTCATGCTGACGGAGAATGAGAGGTCTGAAACTATAGTTACAAACATTAATAATTAAAATATAATTTACCAAAGAACATTTCAATTTATGCTACATAATGATTTGCAAAATATGATATATTATTCAGTTTTCCCCTAGGAATTAATTTCATTAGTGTGGTACAGGGTCGAGCCACGTTTGATACTTAAGGTTTAAATTGAACTCTATTCCGCTTGGGATAAAAATGTCCAAAGTGCAACTCTTGGCTACACTCAAAATACTTTTAACTGATATTATTGAATAGCAGTAGAGCTCCTTGTAAAAGAGTTTATCCAGAGAAGTACTGCCACCCTATTTCTGCTGCTAAGCAGTTATGTGACCATTACTGCGTTTCGCTTTTGAAGGATAAGGCTGCTGGAGGAATTACAGGCATGTAGAATTTTTAAACTTATGTCTCTGGGTGACGGGCATTATGGCAGATCAGCCCTCAGATCTTTACGATTGGAATCTCTAAGCGGCACTGCAACTGTTATGGACAGACGTGTTCACCACCAAGTGCGCGACTTGTTTTCTGATTTCTGAAACTGTGCTGTTCAGTTCTGAAACAGTTTTAGTATTACGAAATTGTAGGCTCGTGCAAATAATACTTGTAGCATAAACTTTCTGTACGTTTACGTTTCGGCACGTAGGGTAAACACAGTTCTTGAAGTTATTGAATTAAGATACTGCGACGTTATACATTTTCATTGTAATAAAACATGTTTATATTTCACTTCTTATACCGAGTCTACACACCGCGTCGTTGGTTGTCGCGTAATACGACCTCTTTCGTCGCGATTCCATCTTTTTTATCACCCTTTTCTCTGGTTCCTGGCCACTTACTTTTGAAATTTTGAATCGTTCTTTAGTCCCTACTAAATTTCCGAAGCTACCACACGTACTCGACTTCTACTACTAGTTGTCATATTAATGGAATCGCCGTAAACAATGTTACGCAGATAACAATAATAATAATCATTTATTCTCTGCCATTCTAATACAATTTATAAAATACATTCAAGTGAGAACTTAACGGTTGAGTGGTGCACAAAATAGATAGACCCTGTGTCTTGGGACACCAGGTCTCCGACTCAGAATCATATTTAAAATCATTTTAAGATAAATTACATACTTACTGAAACAGAATAATAAAAAAAAGAAAAAGTAAGGTTGATCCTAACTTAAGATAAAATTAGAGTAAAGCTGCGTGCATGCGTGCGTGCGTGCGTGTGTGTGTGTGTGTGTGTGTGTGTGTGTGTGTGTGTGTGTGTGTGACTCTCTGTGTGTGTGTGTGTGTGTGTGTGTGTGCGTCCGCGCGCGCGTGCGTACGATGATGACCTGGTGCTGCTCCGCCCTTCGGTTGACGCGATGAGGAAGTTCACAAACATACGTAAGTTGTATGCCGTTGTTGCCGTTGACCATGAACAACATCAAAAAAGCGAAGTAGTTGTTTTTAAAGCTGGCAAGAGACGTTATTCCAATGTATTAATGGTAACACTCTATGGTGTCTCTTTGAGCTTTTTCACTAAATTCAAGTACTTGGGTCACTGGGTAACGCACGACCTGAGTGACGATTAAGACATCGAGAGGGAGCAGTTTTAGTGTCAGAAGAATTCCTTGTCAAAGAGTTCGTCCAGGGTAGTACTGCCACCTTACCTATGTCTGCCGCCAAGAAGTAATGTCAGTATTGCTGTGTTCCGATTTTCAAAAGAAACGGTGCTGGTGAAATTACAGTGTGTAATAAATGGATTCTATTCTATTCTAAATTCAGAATTATTCAACATCTCATTTCTATTTCATAATCATACTCCCATTATCGAGATGCTGGTATAAAAATATCAATACGTGTCTAGTCCTGTACTTGAAACCTTTCAAAATCGGAACGCATTATTAGAACATTAATGGTTAGCGGTAGAAATAGGTTAATGTTAGGTACATTAACCTATTTATTAATTTATTGTTATTGTGTTTTAATTTTTTCACAAAGAGCTCTACTTCTACTAAAAAAGAAATCCAATGTAAATTGTACCACAACCTTTTTGGCGGTATGTCTCATTTCTTTCCGAAATCCCAACTCGTTAGAGCGGACGGAAATATGATATAGAGGATCACACTCTCGGGTCCACATATTACTTCCTTTTCATTCCGGGTTATGTACTTTGTGCGTTTTGTTTTTTTGTCGCATATTGAATTACATCACATGTTAAGATGTTTATGTCGGAATGTCGTTTATTTTTATTTACTTTATGGATATTTATGTCAACAAAAGACTGCTTTAACTCGAAAAATGTTGTTAAACGAACCGTAAAAGAATTTACACAGACATTACCTTTTTGTTTGTATTAAACTGTTGATTTGTCGTAGTCATCGGGTTTTACGTTGGTATACAGACCGAACGCTTGCAGTCGACTTGGAAGTATATAGAGTCGCTATTGCGTTTTTTATTTTTTATGCAATGGGCGTAAAGCCGCCAAAGTCACAGACACGACAGATAATTTACAGCATGCACTTGTATTTTTTACAAGAAACCGAGCATCGACATCACTCTCATACAAAATTCAAAATACCTATGTTATAATAAATAAATAAATAACGCACATACAAGGGAAACGCTGCATCGCGGGTACCATGGACACACACATAGGTAGACAACCATAAATTACACCCAAACTCACGAGAGAAATAAATGTAAGCCATAATAATATTTCTCCCGGCCCGTGAATCGAATCCGGGACCTCTGCGTGGCAGTCCAGCATGGTAACCGTCCGTTCTTGGAGGCCGTTTAGCATAATAGCCTATTAAATCGACTAATGACATCAGACGCTCACTACGAGGAAAAAGCAATCGAAGCAGGCGCTCGGAGAGGTGAAAAAACGTTGCCTGCCGTGTGCAGTCGTGCGGACCTTGAATGCGCTAGGGTTGTAATGTAAATGGAAGACTTGTCAAACTTCAAAATTACAACTATTTATTTAGTATTAGGTAATTATTATAATATACCTACTGTATACGTATAATACAGTAATTTGAAATCAGCATTATTTATTTAGTAAAGTAATGGGAGAACGCTTGCTTCCCAATTTGAAGTTGATAGTTCAAATCCCTAGGCGACGTGTACCTATAACTTTTTAAGTTATGTACATTTGTGAAATTTTAATAGCAGTATCTTTCGTTAACGATAATAATATATAATAGAATAATTATAATACATAGAACAAATTATATATAACAGTTAAAATTATAATTATTAATACAAAGATCGAACACTCAGAAAAAACAGTCAGAAAAAATTCCTTCGATCCGGTCGGATTCGAACCGACGTCTTCTTGCATACCGTGCCAGACGCTATACCAACTAAGCCACGGAACGAACCAACGGACCTCACGAATCTTTCTATGTGCTTGCGTCGTGTCTTTGTACTTGGTCTTTCAACAACTTT